TGGGCTGAATCGAGAAGCGCCGCGGAATTCCAGCATCGTCCGGCTTCCTTAGATGCGCGGACCTCCTCATTGTTTTGGGAATCAAGAAACAAAAGAAGCCGATGCACATCAACGACCTGCCAGCTGCAGGGCAAGTGAGTTAAACGAGATGGTTGAACATCTTGGCACAAACACTTTTGTTGTCCAAGCCATGCAAAAAGTAGTTCTGGGCGATCTCAGCCGTGCGCCGTGCGCATCCGTGCGCATCCGTGCGCCGATGCGCCGTGCACGACCGCCGAGCTTCGGTTTTGCTTTGCCTGGATCAAACAACTGCACCAAGCTTGTGGGTGGTCTGGACTCGTCGGCTGCCGCCAGGTAGACTTTCCTCAGGGGCTGGTTGGTGGCCAGACTGCCCCGACTGCCTCCAAATCACAAGACCATTCCTCATGAACCTCCTCAGGGTGTGGGAAAAAATGCCAAAGAGCCATTCATCTGACCTGCAGTACCCGTTGATCAATGATTCTTTCCGGAGTCAAAGATTACTCCAAACCAGCTGGGCAATGCCTTGGTCGTTCCTCTCATAAGCTGGTTGCTCCCAGGCAGGTGAACACGTCTTGGATTCTTGTCGATTCTGGGAAGGAATCGACGAAGACCATCCTTCCAGAGGTGCAGCCCCGTAACCTGGCAGTTTGCCTAATATAGACTCTTGAGTATATTTGGCAAAACATATGAAGGGGATTTCCAATTCAAATGGAAGGGTTTATGGTCCTCAAGAGTCTACATTATGGTTTTCACGTGTTTTCACCCTATATCTCGCATTCAGGTCTCAGATCCTTAATGGTCATGAGCTGTGCCACTTCGGCATCCGCCACTGTGGTCTCCAAGTGGCCTCCACTCGGTCCTGAGGTACGTCAGCGATACACCGAACGCGCGGTAGACCGAAACACCGGTTTTTTGCGGTGTGGTTGTCCCGGAAGATGGACAGTCACTAACGTTGTGTGGTACTCTGCATGTTCGCCCAGTGGATGGGGTTGCTTCCTTTCACCTTGAAAGACATGCAGCCCCACACCCAGCAGTTGCCCCTACCTGCCATGAGTTGACTAAGTTAGAGGTCTGCCACTCAAAGAAACCCTAGAAAGGACAGTAATGACAAAGGAGACAAATGACATATGGATACAGGGCATGGGATTCGAAGCTCTGAATGTCCGGAATCTGCCACGTGAATTTTGACCTGACCTGCTATCAAAGGCATTACCCGGAGCCCTCAAAACCATGAAAAACAAAGGTTTTCACATACAAAAACCATGTTTTTTTGCTAGGGACAACTAGGTTTTTGATATTTTTTGATGGTTTGTGGGGCCAAATGATGTATAATCTATGAATCACGACCAGCCATGCTCCGCATCTGGGCGGCCTCCCAGCCAAAGGGTGCACTCAATTGGTGCTTGCAGAAAGCAGCGCACCCGTTGAGAAGAACACTCCAGGACACAGGACGATGCGTAGTGCTACTGTAAGTCTGACACTTTCAGCAACAGAAGCTGCCGGCAATAGAACCACATGACGCACAAGCGTCCGCTGGTGGGCTTGGTGGGATGGCCACTGGGTCCGAAGGTCCTGCATGGTCCTGCACTTCTTTGACAAAATACTGCCCGCCTTTGCTCTTTGCATCTGTACAATATATATATATATACATTAGTAATATATATATATATGATTGAATGTATATATAAATACATATCCATATGATTCCATATGTATATATATATAATATAACTATTGGTGTGTGCGCGCGCGTATGCTCACATGAATGATCATGAATAATTACAGTTCAAAGTATTTATACGCTTCTCAACTCCACCCAAAACGAACTGCAACTGAGGATCGCATAACTCGAATAATCGGCATAAGTCAAATGGCCGGAAGTGGGAATCAGCTGGAACGCTCTTTCGCGCAATTTCCGCCGTCTCGCCCACTGGGCAATGTCTTTGTTAGACGGCCCAGGTGAAACAGGGAAATGCGAAACACATGCGTTTTGGAGACTAGGAATTTGCTGAAGAGTTTGACTTTCTTGGTTGAATGCCCTTCCTGCCCTGCCAAATCTGCTACTTGCTGGAACCTAACTCTTCATCAAACTTCAATGTGGCAGGAGGCAAACCATGGTCCTCTCTTTGAATGGCCACCCTGTTCAAAGGGGTGCTCACCTGCGAACACTACGCCACTGGTTCAGGCCCTCCAGTTGAAAGCCTTGAGCCTATGGCTGCACATTAAATTACATTACCATCAGAAAGGAATGTTCCAACAGCGTCACTTGGCACATCTTGGTACGGCGTTTGGTTTGTACTGATGTATGCATCACACGGGTTTGATTTGTTCTGTGGCATGGGCCCTTTTGTAGTGGTGCCACCCAAATCACTCTTGCTACACTATTCGTCAAACGCAATGGACCTCTAGAATCAGCAAGACCTCTTGGCACCAACGAAATGGGTTGAGACATCTCTGCAGCCCAGATGCCATATGCAAATGCCTGATGGCCGGCGAGTGCAGGAAAATCTCCTGGCGAATTCAGTTCATGCAGATTCTGGGCGACACGCAGGAGACACGAACTCTGCTCAACCGTGTCTTGACTGGAAGCAGTCAAGCAATGTCATGTCATGGATTGAGCAGCTTGAAGCCATGAGGAAAATAGATGAACATAGTACGCCTGATAACGTGAAACTGTCATATTGAACATTGCTAGCATAACTCGCGTAAATTCAAAACTGGATTCATATCATTGAACAGCACACCTTGATTGATCTTTTTTTTTGTAATAAGTAAATATATATATATATATTCTTCTTTAACTCTTTGCCATTGACACTGTTACTGACAAAATGCTCGTTCTGTGTGTGCTGGGCCATGAATCAAAGCAACTGAGCCAACCAAAAACACCCTGAACCAACCCTTCACGTGTCATGAACACGGCATGGCCACCACATGATGTTGAGGCATAGCCAGTCTGTTACAGTCTTGTTTGGGGGTCTTTTTTGGGCAAAGCCCGGCACATTGGACTCATTCGGTGCCTCCAGGGGCGAGGTTTTACATCGGCCCCGTCGACAAACGAGGTCTTCGAAAACCACGTCAGCCATCCTCGTGACGTCGCGGCTCAAAACCTCGTCACTTGTTCAATGACCAGTTATCACATAGTTATCACGGCCACTGACATGAAAAGTACGTGATTCAGTGACCTCGTGACTTTAATGAAGGAATCTTCATGTGTTCCATTTCAGACCTTCAGATTCCTTCCTTCGCTTGAGAGGTCCCACACTGAGGATCCGGAGCCCCGGTGCTGTCAGATCGTCAGACCGATGTCCGCAGCCAAGAAGAGAAGGGCGACAGCTTCACCAACTAACATGCTTCTTGTTAGTAGTAGCCTCTTGCTCCGTTCGTAGCTTCTTGCCAGTTTCGCCCCGTTCGTAGCGTCCGAACGCTCCGTTCGGTAGCGATGCTCTTGTTACGTGCGTAGCGGCGCCCAGATTAGCCTGGTGGGTTGGCATCCCGAACATCGAGGAATCGGATGGAATCGGTTCATTTGATCCGTGGTCCACGGTGAGATACGGGGTTTTGATCCACCGCCACCCAAAACGAGCTCCAAACGGGTCCCAAGCCCCCCAAGGTTCGGCGAGAAACGACGACCGAAGACCCATCCCAACGGCTGGCGCTCCAAAGGGCCACGGCTGGCGAAGAAGCTCACCGTGATGGAGAAGACTAAGATCGAGGCCCAAACCTCGCGATCTTAAGGAACGAGGTTTGACACCCGAAACAGTTCCCAAAAACCCAAGACTCTTCATGGCCCAAATCCTCAGGTGGTTGGATCCCCCAAACGTAGTTGGAGCCCAACCGTAAGGTTGATCAAGGCGCGATGGAGGTGCGATGGAGGTGCGGGTTTTGGGTGTTACACTCGGAACACACGTCAGATGGAAGTGGATTATGGACTCAGACTCAGGGTATAGCTAGCTACTTATATTGGCTTCCAAGACATGTGGTTGTCCACTTCCCAGTCGGAGGGTATTGGGCTTGGCTGCTCTTTTCTTTCACGTGCATGGTTCGTGCTAAGCATTCCCTGAATGGTTGCGTTGGGTACTTGCGAGGCGATGTGGAGCGGTTCTCGGGATGGCAACGGTCCCATTGACAAGTGCCTAACTGAAATCGTGGTGGAAGTTGCCATTATGGTTGAGTTGGAAGTGCAACAAAAAGGATCTCTTTAAACCTGGTGGCAACAATTGGTGGACGTTCTTCCGCAGGATTGTTACAGTGGCAATTCACTGCAAACCAAAAGCAGGGAAAGGGGCTTTTTGGCCACAGTCAGTCTGAGTGTTTTGTGGTGAGTGGTGTTCGATAGATACGATCAAGTACGATAAATGATATTCGATAGATATGATCAAGTATGATAAATGATAAATGCGGTCAAACGCGGTGCAGCATGATGCTTCATCAGAACCATTCATGCCTTACCTGCATGTATGTAGTACAAAGTAAGGGGTTATACTATACAGTATGTATATATATATATATATATGAACCTGAACCTGGATGTTTTTGTGTGACAAAACATGTCATGTCATATATTGTATTGCGTGCATCTGAAGTTGAAATTCTGACTTGCTGTTCAATGGCAGGGTCAGTATTGAAATCTGAGAATTTGCAGCATCTGGACTACCCCATGCTTGCCAGATCATCAATTCGGAACGCGATGAGCTCCATGCCGAACAAACACCACCCAGTCGGAACCTCTTTTCTGCCACTAAGACACCAAATACCAATACTTGGAGACGGTGCACGTGTTGGGGTCGAAGGCCAGCAAGAACGAGGTCAAACATGCTGCCTCAGACTTCTAGCTCAAGTCAGCACATGCCTGCGGCAAATGCAGTGCTTCATAGTGAATAGTGTTTCAAAAGGCAAAGCAAGAAACCACGTGCCTCAGCACAGTCAAATGATTACATAATGCGGACAGTTGAGGTCACTCCTGGACCTTAGCACCTTTATAGGCAAGTTGCCAGGCCAAAGGTTTGCAAGCAAATCGGTATGAGGCCGTACAAGAAGAAGGGCTTATCCGTCAAGCATCTGCAAAACCCACGCGGCGAGCTTCGCGTGGACATGCGGAGGTCTTGCTGAGTCGGTGTGCTGCTTGGTATGAGGCATGCATGGTCCGTGGCAGCATCAAGTTTGGTCAAGCTGAGTCAAGCTCTGGCATCAGTTGGAACTGACTGGAGGATGAATCCTCTTTTCTCTCCCTCTCTCTCGCTTAGCTCTCGCGCTACCTTAACGAGGTGCTACTCACGACAGGGCTCGGCTTTCCGCTCGTCCGGTCCTGTACTGACTGATGCGCGTCAGTAGGGGCGACGGCCGCCCATGAAAGAGGATGTAGTCACCCATCCGCAGGTTCAAGAATTCGAGCCAAAAGCGGTACCTCCGTAGGTTCGACAGCAGGAAACGGCCGAACATCATCATCATTTTCCCGTGCTCTGAGAAGCAAATGTCAACTTTGCCCGCACGATCTACGACAATCATTGTCATTATCCATCGGGGAATCTATCTGACGTCTGTAGAGGAACCAAGAAGAATTACATAGAATTACAGTCATGATTGCAGGGACAGGTTTTGAACATGAGAACTTGCACATTTGCGAGGAAGAACAACATCAAATGAAATGAAGAAGAACAAAAAAAATGGAAAAAACACAATCTAAACCACAACCACCTGCCCTTCTTGACCCCGATTAAAGGCTTCTTTGAACTCCCTCGGCCGATGGGACGGACGAAAGTGAACGTGAAGCCGAGGGGCCGAGCTCGATCCAGCATACCTGGAGCTGAGCTCGAGAGAAGGGAGCGGTACCCGTGCAGTTGACCACGGTGTGAGACGGTCCGAGGGAGAGGGCGCACGGTTTGACCCGGTGGTTGCCCGATGGGTTTGGGGAAGTCACCCCGCACGGCTCGTGTCACTGGTCAGGAATCTTCCGAGTCACTGAGGGCCAGTGAAGCATGGAAAGCAATACCCAGACACGACTAATGGGACTGACATATATGCCGGCCCATTGACCCCCAAAACCAGCCCAATGCAGGCATATATGGCATAAATGGAGTGTCTGGGATATGTACCACTGTGGGCAGTTCAAGCAAACATCCAGCAGGCGTTTGGCTTAAGCTGGGCAGCGCCAGCGGCTAGAAGCAAACAATCAACAATGACAGCGCTCTCAGCATCCAACTGCTATAGTATAGTCATCCAAAGTACTTTGACCAATTCACTTGTTTCCGTCATCCTCCATGCAACAGAATAGTTCCTATAGGCTGCCCGCGCATCCCAAGCATGTTGTCACAATAGGCGCTGGTTGTGTTGTAGATTTGGTCGTCTGCTGCCATGCACCTAATGAGTTACTCTGATCCTCTCTGTTGGTATGGAATCTGCGCTGATTGGCCGTCGTCTCCAGGTGATTTTTGCGGTGCCAAGGCACCGATGATGAAGGCATCGCTGGCGGCTGCGGCCAAAGCGGCTGACTTGGACAAGGAGCGCCAGGGGGGTGTCGAGACAAAGCCCGTGCGCTCGCTACCTCCCCAAACCCGCAGGCACGCGGATGTAGCGCGGGATGTTGGGCGCGTGGAGAGAAGGTGGGCCGCTTGGAGGCTCAAATCCACTGATGCTTCACAGGGACTGCGTTTCAACAATGTAGATGGCACGAAGCCACTTGAGCATAACCGTACCGTTACGTAGCTACTCGTACGGGTTATGTAGCTATACTATAACGACAATTGGATACAATTGGTGTTTTTATTTCGTTTCTCCCTCGTCCCTGACAGGACTATTCAAACGACCCCCCAAAAAATCCTGCCTGTGTGAAGCGGGCTGATGAAAATCTCCGTGATCCTGAGTGAAGAACGGTGAACATAGATGAACATAGATTGCATTTTACCCCCCGGTGTTAAACTCAGGAAGTAATTATTAATTACAATTAATCAACCCCACGTGCTTGTGTAAGGTAAAGGAACATGGTCATCCAGCTGGCCTATCTTACACTTCCATGATTATTATGACTGTGCCAATGTGTGCATGAAGACTGAACCAGAAACTATTGGTCGTGCAAGATCGTTCGGTGAAACATGATGATATCATATCATCCCCAATAGCCCAATCCGAATGGAACAAAAGGTATCATGTTTTTCCTGTGGATGATTAATTTATTCCCTCTTGAAACCACCCAAATGAAGAGCTGTTTCACTCCAATTGGGAGGCTCTTGTATGCCTCAAAAGTCCGAAAAAAGGGCGCCCTCGCCACCCCTATCCACACCTCCACCGTGCTGGAACCCAGCACTCACGCCGAGCAGCGGCGTCGTATCGCCGGGGAGGCGAAAATCGGTGACGGTGCCAGTGAAGAGCATCAACGGCAGGAAGGGATTCTTCCCCACATCCGACCTCGGACGGATTCCGGTGGCGACAAATGAATGGCCAAGTGACTGGAGGAGCTAAATCCAGCGATGGACGGAAGTGTACTTAGTAGTAAGCTTATAAGCATAGGCCATAGTGCACGATCCACACTATAGCCTAGTGCACAATCTGTACCAAGTACAGAACAGGAGCAAGGACGCTACGAACGGGGCGAAACTGGCATCGCTACTAGTAACAAGAAGCTAATTACTATATCCCAAACATTCCCAACCGCTCCATGGGACTGCCATAGGACTACCGCCCCAGAACAGCAAACCCCCTGCCCTGAAAGAACCCCCAAACCGGCCTGAGAACTTGGCACTGCTATGGCAGTCAGTCACACAGCAGTCGTGTCTAGACTGTCTGGGTGTCATGCTTCACTGCTCTATGTTCCAAACCAATCCCAATCTCGTCCTCGATCAAAGTATGCTTTCTGTAAGCCTTGCTCGCGGTGCAACACCGGTGGGGTCAAACATCACCGGTGAAACACCGTGATGGTTACCGAAACAAAAAAAACGACCCGTTTTTGCCGCATGCATGGTTTAGTCAACCACCGCTACAGGTACATTTATGTCATGTAGATTGATTTGAACATAGTATTTAACAAATATTAGGTACAAATGAGTTAGGACTTTGGTGGTCGGATGATTAGGACTTGCCTGGGTTAACACCAAACTCACGTATGTTGGGATGGTGGGCATGCCCTACATAAACTCAAGAGATGGGAAACACATAGAGGAACCATGCCTGGAAGTCCTATCTTATAATTGTCGGAACAGGTTTCGGACACAAGATTTTTTTTCACTGCCCCAGCCTCATGAGCTAGGAGCTATGTATGCAAAAATTATCCAAAGGTATCCAAAAGTACCTGTTTACATGAGATAGGACTCATGGTTTTTGGTGTACCTCCGCTAACTCCTAAGTCATGAGTATACACAGTATAAAAAATATGGTTCTTTGTCTCACGCTAGAGTCTGGCGTTCCCACGCAGCCGTTCCACAAAACTGTTCCATGTCGTGCTGGTTTTTGGGAGAAAGAGCTTCCAGCTTCCAGCTTCGTCGCTTCACATCTCTTCGGCATGAGAACTCTGAGGCCCAGGCTTCGAGCATAGAAGGCATGGGAGAGTGAATGCAAGTGGTGGTAAAAGAGTGAGATGATGAAGGCACCTGGTGTCTGGTGCGCGCGCTTTTGGCGCTTTTCGCCAGGCCGATCGTGTCGTGTCTGCGCCACCAAAAGCATGCACAAAAAGCCATGGATGCCCACCAAACTGAGAGACATTCAGAACTGCGAGAACTGGCTTCTTCTCTTTGAGGGATCTTCTCACCCAGCTTGGTCACGGTTGGTTGAGAACCGGGTGACGAGTGACACCTCTCGTGCATGCGTGTGTAGACACGTATGTGCGATCGTAACGGTGCTGGACGGGGAGATGGGACATGGGATGGAACATGTGAACATGCATAAACAAAAAAACGTGCTTCATCGTACTTCTAGTCACAGAAGCTTTTCTGAGAAGGTGTGTTTTTCCCAACCAAGGCGCAAGTGAACATAAATATGACAAAGATTCTCCAACGCTCCTTGCATGGGGGCTGCAGGTGGTGTTCGACTGAACGCTTGAGCTCGACTGAATCTTGAAGGAACAAGCTTGGTCCGGAAAACTTTGGTGTAGTAAATGTTAAACATAAACTATAAAGTTGTTTCAACAACAACGCAAGCTCCCTTGATGATGGCCACTATACTAATACTCAGTGGCCACTGTTCAGCAGGGGCCCTCAAGACCATGAAAAACAAAGGTTTTTTCACATACAAAAACCATGTTTTTTTTTTGGGGGGGTGTGCTAGGGTAAACCAGATGTTTGATGGTTTGTGCGGCCCCTGGCACAATCTAGACTCCTGATTCATAACACTAAACCGTCCCATTTGGATTGATATGATGGGGGGGTTATAAATTAACATGTTCATCGCGTTCTCGTAAGACTCGTCAGGCTCCGCGGAAAACGCCGCGTTCTCGTCGAGGCTCCACCTCAGGCCATGGGGACAAACCCCAAGCATAGCTCCTCAGGCGGAAGGCTGGCGCCCGGCGGAATTGGAACGGCTCAAGCTGCTCAAACCCGCAGCTTTACCCCCAACTCCAGAAGCTCAGCCGGCTGAAGCTGAACTGTAGCCCCAATACACTCTGACTCACTCACATGGAAAGTGGACATCACGCTGCCTGTAACGGAATGTTATATATAGTGTTATGTTATGATATCCCTAGGGCTCCTGGCCCACCTCCGTATCGAAGGTGGTTGGGGTAGGTGCCAGGGGGGTCTAACCACCGAACCTGAGGATATAGTTGGAGCCCGAACGGGTCTAGTCCTTTCAGTGGTCAGGACTTCCACGTGCTCCGCTCCCGTGCGCGGTGTCTCACCGAGCCGCTGAGCCGTGATGGGCCCATAAATCCGGAACTGCACCAAGCTCCCCACGATGAAGAGGGCAATCACCGGACCCAACAGTGATAAGGTCCACCTGAGGACCAACCGGTGAGCGAAGGAAGTGATAGGAAGTGGAAGGTTCCGTCCATTCAGAAAAAGCATCTTGAACTTTTGCATCGTTTTGCATCGTTTTGCTGCTTGAACTTCGTCTCTGCGCTCGAAGTCGTGGCAGTCTTCATAGGTGGCCCCAGTGAACAAGAATGAAAAACAAGGGCGGTCTTCGTAAGTTTGTTGTGGGTGGAGGGGACGAGAGCGGGGGAAAACACTGTGCCCCCAAGGCTTCAAGAACCGATGGGGGGGCTCGATCCACAGGCGGAGCGGGATGTATCTTTGGCTGCGGGTTGTTGGGACGTTTCATCGTGGGTGGAGCACCAGCTGGGCTCTGCTGCCTGCCAGCTGGTCCGAGCTCCTGGCAGGAACAGGCCGCTGAAGAAGGGGTTCAAGATCAAGGACACAAACCTTGGCAAAGGACCCAAACAGAATTGCATCACATCCGCTTGGCAGTGGACAGTCCTTAGTCCTAAACCCCAGTAGAATGATGAAGCCTCTCTGCCGCAGCAGGTCTCAGATGCACCAATGTTCATCGTTCGTCCTTGGGAAGATCCCAGTGCTTAGCTCCCTATTGCAGCCGTGTAGCAGGCCAAGCCCCAAGAAGACACCCACCGAAGTGAAGCCAAAATTGGAGGAAATCCGGGAGATGATATCATTCCTCACATCCAACTCACCCAACCAACACAACCTCTCTCCGCAGATGGCTCGGAAAAGCCGAGCAAGCCGGTTCTGCAAGCCCACTGAATCGGTCCAGCAGTTGGTCTGTTACCACATGAATTCCTAGAAAAAGTCAGCAAAGAACATGTTGGAGCGTTGGAGGGGAGATGTCTTATGCTACTTACGGGAGTATGTATGCATGACTTTGAGATTGATTGTATGAGAGTTGATGGGCTCCACCGAACTGGAGGTTCAATGAGTCTCTGACAAATCTCTAACTGTTCGGTTTCCTCATGTTTCCTCCATTTGGCCAGCAAAGCCCACATTGACACGCTGACTCTGTCATACTTATGCCCAAAGTCTAAGATGTCATGTTTCTTGGAATTTGCCCCACTCTTCAGCAAACTCGTTCTACGGGCGAGTAGTTTGGTCTGAACATATGCCTGAACATTGAAGCCAAGCTTAAGCCGGTGCAAAGTGCCAAGTGACTGCAAAGACACAAGGACCGTGTTCAAGTGGACGATTATAAATGCAATCCTGCAAAGGCCGAGCTTTGATTTCCCCAGTTGCCAACACACCCGAGCACACTAAAGGCGTGCTCCATGCCCGAAAATATCTGACGAAGGCTGCCCACAAAGGCCAAAAAACGGCAGCAAGCAGGGCGCAAGGCGACCCGGCGACCGTTTGAGTTCTCAAGGTTTCAGGCTGCCAAACAACAGCAGCAAGAAACAAGATGTAACAAGAGCGGGGGGCCAGCTGTTCCACTCATGGCTAGCACCAGTTTCTCAAGTTGCTCGCTTCCGAGATTGGTTTCACCTCGTGCCAGGTAGCTCTCTGAAGGTTGCCAGGTGAAGACCCCAAAAACACCAGTGACTCGACCATAGTGGACCACGGCAGCAAAAGAAAAGCAACATCGCTGATCAGGGCGGTCTTGTTGTGCTCAGGCTCAGATTCTTCTTGTTTGATCATCAGCCTGGCCAGGCGACATGTCATTCAACTGGTCGTGGCGCAAATGGCAACGACTGCGGTGGTGGTCGTGGTTCGCGAAGCATCAGGCCTGTAGTCACTTAGTCCCGTAAAGGTACTGTTCAAGGCCCTTTGCTCTGCAGGTGTGAAATAACCTGAAGCGACGAGACAAAGTTACAAAACCACCTCAACTGTTAGGTACAAAGGTGGCAAGGAAGCTGTAAGCTACAGCATGGTACACGATAATGAAGGGAACTGTTGAGGGAAGCCGGGAAGCTGAGATCTGATCGATTCCACATGAGTGTTTTTGTCATGTACCGTTTCTGTTCTCTTTCTCCAAGCCCAAAAGCTCTCGAAATAGGATGCCATCCACCATGGATAGCCATTGTAGAAGTCCTGCATGGCTGCCAGTCTCTGCGTTGTGCAAACAAGCCACATCACATGCTCTTGTGTTTCTTTCGTTTCAACACGTATGAAAGGCACCCTACAGCGGTACATCGGCAGCCCTGCACCCTACCGCGACCCACACGACACGGTCCTCACAGCCACGGTATAACACGGTCCTCTTCGGGGGGTTGTTGGACGTTTCACGACCCGCCCTACAGCAGCACGTCTCACACGGAGTTGGACGTTTCAACGGCTGATCACCGGAGTTGGAAGTCGAGAACTCGCTCAGTTCGACCACTGGGTCTGGTTGAAGTCGGATGCACACGAGAAAGGGGGTTGGCTTAGCTAAGCTTTAGGGATTCGTTCATTCATGTCCTTTTTGATTGAGAGGGAACTTCCAGGTCGATCCCTTGGAAGGAATACCCATAATACCCTCCATCCAACAAACATGGAAGTGGAACAAGGCCCCGAAAGGAAAACTGAATTCCTCTATGAACAGGCTGTATTCCACTTCCATGATTGTTTCAAGGCTTTTCAAGGAGGGTATAAGCTCTCCCAATGAATATAAGCACACCCATTTGGCATTGCTGTGGAGGGCCATCTCAAAACCATAGGCCGTCTTCGACCGTTGCGTGCAGTCGACCCGTGCGGTCATGGCAGCTCGCATCGAGAACCACCTGAGTGCCAACGAATGTCATCCGTTCACCTCAACTGGCGGAAGGATGGCCTGTAAATCTGGGAAGTCGAAAAGCGGACGCCTTGGAGAAAACCAACAACATCCAACATATATAACTGACAAACTGCCAGCCCGCTCGAACCCTACGCCGATTTCTCCATCATGGCGGGCAAAGTGCCGCTTCAAGCGTGGTAGGATCTACGGCCCCTGTTCATAGAGCCAGGACACCGGGGAAGGTTTGGGATCAAGCACGGACATGTCACACATGTTGGAATCACAGCACCCAGTATTTTCTTTGATCCCGAACCTTCGGATGTCAGAGTTGCTCTGCCCGGCACTGCGAGCCTCTGCTCGTTTCTTCATCTGTTCTTCAGTGGGCCGGATGCTAAATTGCCCTGAGTTGATTAACTCGTAGAGCGCAGCATTGGAACCAAGCACTTTGGTGAGACCGTCTGCTGGCATTGCCAGATGGTCCACCCACTTGACCTGTCCTCCAAGCTCTTTCAGATCTTGTCGGATGATCTGAATCTCAATTGCGGTTCTCTTATCTTGACCGCCTAAACAGTCTTTTGACAAGTGGTCATACAGCGATTTCGCATCGACCACTGCTAGAGACTCTTGCAGGCCTCGCTCACTTAGCTCCGAGCTCATCACCAGGAGCTCCTCACCCTCCAGCCGGCTGCGCCATGCCTTGATGTTGAACGTGCCGTCGGTCAGCTCTTGCACCATGACCATGATCCACAACAACTCGGCCAGACCTCGTGACAAACTTTGTGTTTCTGCCGCCAAGGTCGAATTGACGATGCGCTGGAGCTTGCCTGATCTCCATGCCAGAACATTGGTGCTCACAGCAGCTCCATCGCGAAGGTTGTTCTCATGGGCCAACACGAGGTGTCCACCCTGTGAGTGGAATCCTGCGTTCGCGAATGAAGCGTCGGTCACCACACTGAGCCGCATCTTCTTCAGCGGTTGCACTTTCAGGCTCAGACTTGCATGGGCTTTGAGCTCTGCCACCACCTGGTTCAGCTGGATTATGTCCTCGATGGTCAGTTTGGAGAGTTTGGACGCGATCAGGCTTGACGGTCCCGAGGCATCTGGTCTTCCTTCTCGACTCAACCAGTTGAGCGCTCCACAAGTAGCCCTCGCTGCGCCGACCTCTGCCTCGTTGGCCATCTCCTTTTTCTGACCCTTTCGCCCCTTCTCCAGGTTCACCGGGTGAAGCCTCTCCTCGATGAACTTCTGCATGTCCACCAGGAAGCCGCCATCTGGTAGTTGACGAACTCGTCGGCCATTAAATGCGCATCCATCCTTCTCTTTGGACAGCTGCACGTACTTGCCAAAGACGTACTTTTTCTTCAGCTGCTCCATCTTATCGTGGTGCTCTCGATGTCCGACTGTGAACAAAAGTCGTCCACCTCGATGGCGATCGCCCTCAGCAAGCGCTTGCGGGTTCGGTCGTAGAGCTTCATGATGCATGGGTCTAAGGCCGACATCTCGTATCCTAGGGCCTTCAAGTCATCAGTGAGGGACTTCCGCCAGTGCAGTGGAGCGTCGACCAGCCCGTAGCAACCCGCAATGATCTGGACAATCTGCTCGGGGTGCAGACCAGTGACTCCCTCCTTGGGCTGCTGGAAGTATAGTCGCCCTTTTGGTCGGTGAAGCGGTTGGCTTTGGCAAAAGGCATTCTTCAAGTCTCCCACCGTGGCCTCCATGTTCTCGTTGGCCGCAATCTGCAAGAGGACGTTGAAGTTCACCGTGTTCAAGGTTGGAGAGAATCGCTCCAGGTCGAGTATGTCGGGGTCCAAGTCGCCCCTGATGCACAGCCGCGACTTCTTCATGGCCGGTTCTCCTGGCTGTTCTCCAGGTTTGTATCTTCGTGCAATCTTCGTTGGCAGGATGCGATCTTCTTGCCCCTGGCTCTTCAACTCCTCTCGGATTTTCCTTGACTCAGCCAGGTCGAGCACCTTCACCGCCCCGCTTTGCGTGACCTTGTTCCACTCGGAGAGGTCCGCGAGCTTCCATTCTTGTTGGTCTTGGGGGCTCTCCTTTGCTAGGTGCACCTCATCTGTCCCTTCTTCTCCGCCACGTAGTTCTTCGCCTCCGTGATGTCCCGGATGTAGAACACCGTCTTGCCCTTCCACCAATCGTCTTGGCTCCTTTTCTGCGGCCGTTGCCAATCATCTTGTTCCATGTCCGCGCTAGCCGCTCTTTTCACATGCGTGTCCCGACGCTCGGATAGTAAAGTCCAGGGCACAGGCGCGTCGGAGTTGAGCTTCGGGTCAAACTTGGCCTTCCTCTTCCTCCGATGATGCCTGGTCATCGTTCCCGCTTGCCAGTCGAGCGTCCATTCGTCTTTCTCTGCTTTGCCTCGAGCCAGTTGGTGTAGCTTTGTTTGCCGAGCCTTGTCCACCTCTTCGTGAGCCTCCTGTTCCTCGGCGAGAAACCATTCTTTTGTTCCGAAGTATGGTGCGAGGTGATCATGGCCGGCCCTTTGCTGCCATCGGTAAATAGGTCCGGAGATTGGACCTGGTACTCCATCAAGCCGGTTGGCGTTCAGCTCTGATTGCCTCAGGGCCTCTTGTACTTGTGCGGACTGTGGATCTATTGGAGGTCGATGGAGGTTCACTGGCGGTGTTTCTGGCACCCCCTCCGGGAATCCCGGATGATGTTTGGCCTCTGTCTTGCTTGCCTCACTGCTCGCCCGTGAGATGGGGGCTTCTTCCTGTTCTGGCTCGTTGATGGATCTTCTTCTCTTTGGTTGCAGGGTGTCTTCCGGCTCTTCATTCACTTCCTCTCCAACCTGCGTTGGGGTGTATTCCACCTCTTCAGCGGCATCTTCGAATCGAGGATGTCGGGCGTGTTGATCTCGAGGGGATTCTTCTTCTTCTTGCTCCGGAGGAAAATCCTCCTGGGTAATGTCCTTGTACCCCAGCCGATGGGATCCTCTCTTGAACTCCTCAATCAACTCTTGGCACTCTTGCACGACAGCCTCAATGCCCGTTTTCTCGTCGTTGGTGGCCGGCCGACACTGTTCTCGAGCTACCTTCCATAGTTCTCCCATCATCGAGACCCACAGGTTTGCGCCATCGGGAGCTATGACTACTCCCGGGCCGACCCATCTTGCCTTCGTGGAGATGGCTGCATCGTCTGCTGGGCCTCCATGCTTCCTCTTCTTCATTCGGGGCACCCGGAACACAAACACGTACTCGCCGGCCTTGTAGTCCACCCACACGCGTGGACGAGCTCGTAGGGCTCGCCGGAACGTGCTCTTGGCATTGTGCTCGCAGAAGGCCTTGTGTGCGATGGTCCGCATGTGGTGCAGCTTCTCGAGATCGTCGGTAATTACCCCGTTCAACAACGTAGGGTCCACTGCCTCGTCGGACATAATGGATGTTGGAAGCCTGGGCCATTGTCCGATCTGCCGTTGAACCGGTGCGAAGCCAGATCGGTTTGAGTATCGGTTCTTGGCCTGCTCGACCTCCACCATGATTTGTTTGAGGTCTCTCGTGCTCTGAATCACAACTTCGCTTCTAACCTTCTCCAACAGCTCCTTGAAGTGGCCTCCGTGGCGTTCGGTTTTGCCCTGCTGCCATGGGGCTTTGGATGCGATCTGATGGATCACGATCCCTTCGGAGGCCGCTCTTTGGATGAACTCCCCCAGGAACTCCCGGCCAGCGTCACAAGTGATGACCTCCGGATGTCCAAACGTCCGGGCCCACGTAGACATGTAGGCTTCCCACACTTCATTTGGGCTCTTGCCTGAGAGGACCTCACACATCTGGTAGTTCGTGCCCCAGTCTAGGATGTTGAGGACCGGTACGGTTTGTTTGCCGTTCCCGGGAGCTGGCACATAGAACAGATCCAGCCCCAGCACCCGATTGGGCTGATATGCCCTTGGCAATGCCGTGGGTCTTGGAGCCTTGGGATGCCTCTTCGACTCGCACACGTCACATTTGAAGTTCTTTGATGCCCACTGGACGATCTCTCCTCTCACTCGGGCGGCCCGAAGGAACCGGATAAACTCCCGGTCTTGGGGATGTCCCACAGCCCGGTGCACCCGCATCACGGCCTTCTTCTCCTCCTCCGTGGGCGTGTAGTCTCCAGGCCCTTCATCTTGTACCGGCTCAGGCTCATCTGGAGCCATGTCTTCGTCTTCCTCCTCTTCTTCCATGGCATAGTTGGAAATGCCGTTCAAGTACTCGACGATGCCGTTCGAGATCGCCTGGCACAGCTTGTCCGGGTACACCTGCGCCAGCTTCGGCCTTCCATTCTCCAGCGGGACATGGAAGTGGCTCTTGTCGCACTTAACGTCCAGGAGCTCCAAGACAGGCGACATGTTGGAGAGCCACCGAGTTCTCTTTCTGTTCGGGCCCGTGCCGTCCACGTTCAATCCGAACATGCACTGGTCGCAGATGACCACCTTGACCCCGCTGCTGTTCGCGAGGGACTGCAGTTCTGGATCTTGCCAGGAAGTGGCCCCGTCAGGGTGTTCGAACAGTATGGCACCTCCTCTTCTCAGCTGCCACCGCAGCACCGCGATTGCCAGGTGTAGATGTTCTTGTCCCGTTTGAAGTAGGTGCACCCTCTTCTTGGGATCCATCCGGCTCCAGTTCACGGCCTGCATCTTGCTGTACGCCCTGCATGGTGGACAAGCCAGTATTACCTCTGGCTGCTCTGCTCGCAAAGCTTTCCACATAGCCTTCCGGTCTTCTGGCCTGCTTAAATCCCAGCCGGTCACGAGGTCAAAGCTTGTGCCCACTTGGTATCCCTTCTCCTTCAGGATCTTGGTGACCCGAGGTGGGCAAAACACTTCTGAGAGGGCCCTTCCTTTTGGGCCCATCTTCTTCATCATGGCCATGAGCATCTGCCTGTCCTTCCGAGAGATGTGGGTGCTCTTGGAGTCCTCCCATAGGTTCTGGAACTCGCCTCTTTTGGAGTGTCTGATCTGCACATAGACCTCGTTGACCTCCTTAGGGATGGTTCCGGCACTCTCAATCCATTCTCCGGTGGAGTTCTTCATCCAAAAGTTGCCGTGGACCTCCAGCAGCGAGTTGTTTCCTTGCTGAGCTTGGCGAGCCCAGCGCACAGTGCTCCTCGTAGCGCACCTCGTCCATCCATCCTCTAGCCGTCGAACTCGTCCACATCCACCACCGGCACGTTCTCCGCCCGGCTGCTGTTCACGGACACCTGGCACCAGCTGTTCCCCACCGTTGGAGCTGACGCTGGGGCCTCCCTCTTCGGACTCTTGGACCTCCTTGGGTTCAATGATGAGGCCGCCGTCTTCACCTCGTCGATGTCGGCCTGGTCCCTCTCGTCGATCCATTCGAAGAGGTCGCAACGACGTTGGACACATTTCCAAAACATGCGTCCCTTCCTCGGTCCGTCCTTCTTGACGATCAGAGCCTCGGCTGGCTTCCCGCATAGGCAGTGCTTGGTCACCTTTGGTGGGGGTGACCGCCTCGAGCTTGCTCGGGGATCGTGGGTTGCCTCCGGGGTCTTGGCCTGGATCAGCATCTGCATGAGCTTCTCCTGCCTGATCTCTTGCTCGCGGTTGGCCACAGTGGCTCTCTTCACCTCTTCCGCGATCTGCTGAAGCTGGACCGCGTTCATCTGGGACTGCTGAATGGTGGAGGCCGCCTGTTCGTTCCCCAGCTGCTGCAGCATCATCTGGGCATGAGTGCCCATTTCGACCCTCAGATCCTGCTTCATGGCCATCAGAGCCTCCAAAGTCTCTCCTCCAGATGGAGGGGTGGCCAACACCGCATCGTCCAGGATTTTCCCCTCGCTCCTCAACGGTGTCCTTGGTGCCGGAGTGGATGTACCCGGGCTCGTCGGCGATGTAGGTTCCCCCTTCGGGTTCTTCAGGCTCAAGGGGCCGTCCTTGATCTTCTTCTGGACATCTGCTGCCCGTTCGGAATGGGCCCATCTGGTATGGCACGCTCGGCGCACTATGTACGAGCTCGAGCCATTTCCGCCCCCTTTGAGACTCGATTTGGGATGCACGCAGGTGCTGGCGGAAGTCGTAGGCGCATTCTTGCTCTGGAGCGGCTTCAAGACCTGCGCACGCACGATCACCTCCGAGTAGTAGTCCGCCATGGTCTCCAAAGACTTGCGCCCCGGCCGCTGCGAGTCCAAGTCCAAGCACCATTCGTCGGTTGCGCCCTGGAGTGCTGCGAGGACCAGCAAAATGCCGATTTTGTCCAGGACGATTCTCCAGTTCTTGATCGGTACACGAGGATTGTGCACCCGCGGCCCGACTTCCATCGGCACTGGATCCGTGGAAGGAGTAGCGCCCACCAAGGCCTTGGCCTTCTTCAGCAGCGACGCCATGTGGTGGTGATGGGCGAGAGGCGTCTTCGGGCCAATGATCGAATTGAGCGTCGGCCAAATGTGATTGAGCCGGCATTGCTGTGGTAGCAAAACAACGTGACTCCAACTCGAACTCCCCTTGCGTGCCGGCTTCCGATGGAACCAAAAACTTGCCCTCGGCGAACGACATGACGTTGACCGCGACGTGACCGCTTGCGAGCTCGCGGAGTGGTAGAAACACTTGATGTGAGGGGACCTGCATGACCATGTTCTTCAAATCGATGACCACCTCCAAAGCCTTGAGAAGTTTGACGGGAAGTAAAAACGGCACATCTCCTTGGACTACGGTGGTCTCCAAAACACCATTGATGCCTCCGAGCCCCAAAGGAATCAAAGCAACCCCTTCGACCACCGCATTGCCTCCTACTCCCTTTGCAAATGATTGCTTGGGGATCCACTTCACTCGTAGACCACGACCGGCGAGTTCCCGTTCGAGTCGAAGAAGAGACTCCTTCCCAATCAAACCACCCTCAGCGGCTGTATCGACTATCCCCTCGATCGCTTGGGTGGTAATGCCACAAAAATTCACCTTCCCCTCCTTGACCATACATGCCCGCTCCATGTATCGCTTCGAGGGGTTGGCTTCCATGTCAATCTCCGCCGAGGCCTCTTGTCGGGCTCGACTCTCCTTCACAAACTGTCGCAGCCAAAAATCCTGCTGCGAACTGGAAAAACTAGTGCTCTCAGGACGTAGTCCCACATAGAAGGTGCGGCCTTCTCCTTTTCCCGCGCTGCTCGCCGGTGGATTTTGGCACTCCCTTTCCCAGTGCCCCACTTGCAAGCACTTTCTGCACCTTGTACGAAGCTTCAACTGCTCGATGTGGACACGGCGTTTGCCCTTGTCTTTTCCTTTCTGAAAGGCGTTGAGCTTGCCTTTTCCTTTCCCAGGGAAGAAGCCTCGCCCCAGGCGTTGATCTTTCAGAGCTTGACGGGTGTCGTTGTAGGAGGCCAGGGCGTTCAACACGTCCTGTTCGTCCATAACCTCATCCAGGTCTCCATCGGCCAAGAAGATGTAATTCTCGTCGTCGTCCTCCCAAGCAGCGGCGCCATCGCCGTCAGCCTCATAGTTGATGCCGGTGTCATTCTCCAGGACGTAGGTCTCCTCGGCGACATAGCTTCCCCTGGGCTTATCCTTCTCCTTGATGACCTTGTCCAACCGTCTCAAGGCCTTGGTGATCTCGCCACGACCGTATTGGCCTTCAGCCCAGGTCAACAACCGTTGATCTTGGGCTTCCGTGAGTGAGGCCTGCCGGTATAGGATGTATCCTTTTGCCCCGTCTGGCAGGTCCACGCCCTCCTTGGTCAGGTGGATGAAGGCCCGCTCCATCCTCTTCGTGTACTCCGCGAACGACTCCTTGTTTCCTCGTGGTGGCCCATAGACCGCAGTCTCGAAAGCCCTCGGCAAGGAGACCTCGAGGTGCGGCAAGAAGTACTCTCGGAGCTTGCCCAACACGTTCTTTACCCCCTGCTCGCATGCGATCTCGGAGATCTCCATGTCGTCCACGGCCGTCATTGCCACACCTGTGAGTTGGCGCAACAGCTTGATGCCTCGCTTCTGCTTTGGCACCTCAGTTTCGAACTCCCACAAAGCCACCTGCTTCTCATACTGGCGGAACGTCACTTCCGGGTTCTCCCCGTCGTAAGCAGGTGGTGGGTCTCGATCCCTCGGTGCCGTTTCTGTCCTCCCTGCCTGACCACCAGTGCTAGCTGCCGCAAAGCCGCCACCAGCTCGTCGGGGTTCGGGTTCTCCATCGCTCATGGCCTAGCTTCTGCCACCTGGATTCGTGCTGACCGGGCTCCGCGGTACCACTGACAAACTGCCAGCCCGCTCGAACCCTACGCCGATTTCTCCATCATGGCGGGCAAAGTGCCGCTTCAAGCGTGGTAGGATCTACGGCCCCTGTTCATAGAGCCAGGACACCGGGGAAGGTTTGGGATCAAGCACGGACATGTCACACATGTTGGAATCACAATAACATTATATAACATCTTGATGTTATAATTTTCATGTATATACAACTCACATTGGCTTCATTTATTGGGATTCTTGTGCTGCTACTTTGCGTGAACTCTCTCGATAGGGACGGGACCGAAGGGACCGACGACTGCGGTCCACCCTGACCGAAGCTCCCTTCTTGTCTCCCTTCTTGCGCTTCTTGTTGATGTCTCAAAAAGTGGACTTGGGAATGCTTCGTTGTTGTGCCACCTGTTTGGGGTCTACGGTGGTGTAATGTTTTTCCCAGGTGGTCAGGTAGTGTCATGTTAATTGTCCTGTATTTGGGTGGCCCATACGAAAAGGTTTTACAATCGGGGCGGGACGGGATATTAATCAACAGTCTACATTAAGGCCTGGCATTGGTTGAGTGATGTGGTTCCCGGAGCATACCCAATTTGGGGCTTTTGTGAGGCTTCTTCAAGTCAGTAAGTTCTTGGAAACCCTTGAAATGGTCAAGACGCCATCGAAAGGACTCAACACTGGATTCCACCGGCATCAGGGATTGCGTTCAAGTCCTTGCAAGGGCAATGTTAGCCGTTCTCTTTCAATGAAGGATCCCCACGACATCTTGCAGGCGGATCTAGCATCAGTCAGAAGAAGGGAGACAAGAAGGGAGACAAAAGGAAACAGAAGGGAGACAA